GTTTTATTCTAAGACAAGTGATGACCATCCTTTCCCCCAGCCCCTTTTCGGCCTTGTGCCACATTTGTACATAGTACAATAAATAATTTGATTGACCGACTTCACACTTAAATTCGTCTTCTGAATGTGGACGGTTCATTCCTACATTAGCTGTTTGAAGTATCAGCTTCCGGTGAATGTTACAGTCAGCTGATAAATTTTATTTTGTTCCAATTTGGTAAATGGTGAGTGAAAACTTCAAAGTTACACAAGCTGAAAGAGGCAAACTTGAATTGGAAACAGGTAGTTTCGTATACTGAGAAAGACATCTAGACAAATTAAGGTAAGATACAGTGTTTCTGTCTTATTTAGACCTCTGCAGAGTGGTTCATACATTATTATTTTAGTTTTTAGTTTCAACACAATATTATACAATGTATTTTAAATGATTTTAATATTTAAACCATTCAGTATTTTATTATGTTTGAAACAATATATAGTGCACGAATTAAGTTTTCAAATTGCGTTAATTTATTAGTTTTCTGATTTGCAGCACATCTTTTGAGTTTCAACTATTTATGGGTATATATGTTAATAGTTTAAAACCAAATAGAAGTGAATTTTCTAATTGGTGGTAATACGCATGTTAATATACGTTTTTATTAAAATTTAATGATTGCGCACAACCAGAGCTGTGACTAGGTCCCCGAACCCCAGAATGAACATGCAGTTAATTTATGAAGTCTTTTAAAAAATGTAATACTCAAAGTTTTTACACCACCACCGCCATTAAGAATCTCCCACCAGTGTATTACGTCTTTCATTTTGGGCTCAAATAGTTAACTTCATATAGAAAGTAGGCATATGTATAGTTCATTAAACTCTTATTCTGATAAAGAAAATACTTGTGTTGAAGACAAATTGCTCAGATGCCTAAAAATCACCAAATTATCTTCAGTACTGCGGGTGTGAGAAAGCACCCCCCCACTTTCTGTTATTAAAAAAATGGGGAGAAGGTACGTTTTAGTTCATTCTTTCTCTACCTGAAACTGATCATACTATAGATTTCCAATTTTAAAATACCTTTTTGCAAATCCCAAAAGTCGTTTAATGTGGTTTCAATCTTCCAGTTTATCAAAACCAACGTTTGCTATTGCTCTGAAAGCTTCAACATTTAATTTTTGTTAATGTATCATAACAGCAAATTTCAATAATAAGCTATTAATATTTTTTATATACTTTTCAGAATCTAAGAAAAACAAGGATCAAATTCAAGTGGAAATGCATTCTTGATACTTTTAAAGTCTGACACACATCCATATATTAGATTAAAATCAAATCTTTGAGACTTAATGATTAGTAGGACTTTTTAAAATCCCAGTCTAATTTGAGGGAAGAAAACTATTTTTCTTGGTTCGTACACCGTTCTATTAATTTCATTATATATATTTCAGTGATGTTCTTTATAGATTATCCTTCTATTTAAGTTTATTTGGAAAAATATCCAATAACTTTATACTTATTTTGGATAAAAACCAGGAAAATGGAGTAAACTATCACCTGTTTTTACCTTTATTTGATTACAAATTAGAAAAAATTCACGTGAGATAGGCAAGAAGTAAGGCAAAGGGCACTCCTTTAAAGGCAAGGAAGGGCAAAAATATTTTAAGTCAAGTGATAGCGATTACTGTATGAGTCGTACGATTTTTGAATCAAACACGGGCAATGCCAGACCATGCTGCTAGCATACAATGAAAGTAGATTTATATATTTTTATACAAGAAGTTAATAATATTGTAAAATACAAGACTTTTTTATTTTTATATAAATAAAGATATAATATAAAGTAATAGATTTACCTATTTTTATACAGAAAAGTAAAAAACCATGTATAAATGCAGCTGATTTTCCTATTTTTACATAGAAATATAAAAATTTACTATAAAAGAATTAGATTTTAGTTTTGGTCAGTAAAAAAAAAAAAATGTAAAATCTTGTTAAATTAGCTGACTTTTCTCTTTTTACATAAAAATTTATGGAGATTTTCCTATTTTTATAAAAAAAAAAACTATTAAATTCATGTGTAAAAATAATTGATTTTCCAATTTTTACATAAAAATATTAAAGTATATTGTAAATGTAGATTTTTTTTATTTTCATGCAAAAAAAGTAAATGTCATGTAAAAGTAGCTGATCTTCATCTTTTCATATAAAACTAGTAGATTTACTTTATATGAGAAATGTTAAAATTGTATTAAAGTAGCTAATTTTCCTATGTGTACATAAAAATATAATGTAAACTTAATAGATTTTACTATTTTTATGCAAAAAAGTTGTAAAAGGAGATGATTTCCCATATTTTGATATAAAAAATTTTTGAAATATAGTGTAAAATTAGTAGATTTAACGTAGGTACCTACACGAGATCGCTAAAAAAAGAGCATAGCATGATGAAAAAGACGCCAAACTTGACGAAAACAAAATTTTATCGTCTAAATGTTTGTTATTATTAAGAGGAAAGTTTTTTTTGAGTCAGCAAAATTGACCATTTTTTCCATTTTAAAAAAAAAATGGAAATCTGACTTTGAAATTTTTTTAAGTATCAATTATCATTTTTTCAAAACTTATTTTAAGAAAATCAGAAATTATAATGTTTATTTAAAATATTTTGAACCAAACTTAACTTAGCTTTTGTGCCAAAAAGATGTAATTTGAAAATAAAACAAAGCAGGTCATAAACTTTCGCGTCTCTTGACATGTGATGAATGATATATTTACGAATTCAATGAGGCTAATTTGTTCTACGGAAGGAGAAAAGTGAAATAATTTACATTTACGTGAACAAATTATTTACCCCGTTATTTTTAACGAAAACTTTCAGCGGTCTAATTTTTTTTTTTTTTTTTTTTTTGTACTTAGCTTTCACCTTTACGTTTATGATGCTTTATGGGAAATATATTGTAAAAGAAATTAAAATAAAACTGTTAAGAGTGACATTAAATTTCATATTTCTTAAGAAAGGTATCTAATTAATTTATAGGTACCTTTCTTATGAAATTTTATCAGAATTGTACATAAAATACTATAATTTTATGTACATTTATTACATTCTACTGTTATTTGTATTTGCATTCATTTTATTATTAATTTTGATATTTCATTTATGGAAAAATGTCGTAACTGAGATTAATATAAAAATAAGATCATATAAATTTCATAAGATGATACTGATACTTGTAGGTACCCTTCTCAGTTGAAATTGAAAAATCAAATTAACTTCTCCACACGTGTTTCGCAAAAGTAAAGGCCTTAACAGCGGAGAACAATGCTTAACGATTTCATCCAAAGAATTTTAAAATCATGTTTAAAAGTAGCTTAAAAGATCTTCCTATTTTTACATAAAAGTATATGAATGAATAAAAGTATGTGAATGCAGGAGACTTTACTATTTTTATATAAAAAAAAAGTAAAAATCCTATATAAAATAGTGATTTTTTTTTTTATATATATATATATATATATATATATATATATATATAAATGTTAAAATGTAAATTAGCAAATTTTACTATTTTTAAGCAAAAATGTAAGATCTTGTGTAAAATGACTGATTTTCCTATTTTTTACATAAAAATATAATAATATAATGTAAAAGATGTTACAATTTTGATGTAAAATCTGTAAAAGTATATCGCACCCGGCCGGAAGTTACTGCCGGCTACTCAAACATCTAAAAGCGTCACCGCGGAAAACATAACGAATGCCGTTAACTTCCGGTGACTAAGCGTTTTTCAGTCAACGTCTCACACAAACTAAGAAAAAACGAAACATTTACATATACTAACTTTCCTAACCAAAAACAATTACCAGAAACTACTTTATATACACATGGTGTCCGAATGGAATCCATGTGTACAGCCAAAAAGTAGAAGGTAATTTTCAGTCATCACCCCAAATATATCGCTGACAGGCTACGTTGCCGACCTCAGCCTATATATACACAGCGGATTTTTTCCACCAAATTAATCTTCTCGGCTGATTTTTGGCCTCGGGGTTGAGCGACGAGCTCCCCCCTCTCACCTACGCTGACCACACGAAGCAGCAGCAGCCAGGCCAGCAGACATCAGCAGCAGCTAGAGCCAGCAGAGCAGTCCGGCCTCCTCCTCATCAGCAGCAGCAGCAGCAGAGCAGTCCGGCCTCCTCCTCATCAGCAGCAGCAGCAGCAGATCCTGATCAGCAGCAGCAGCAGCTGGGGAGCCAGCAGCAGTCCAGCCTAGAGCCAGCAGAGCAGTATCTCGATAGCTACATGATATGCAGCAGCTCATCCTCGGCTACATGATATGCACTAGGAGCCTATCCTCGGCTACATGATATGCAGCAGCCTATCCTCGGTTACATGATATGCACTAGCCTATCTCGGCTACATGATATGCACTAGCCTATCCTCGGTTACATGATATGCACTAGCCTATCCTCGGCTACATGATATGCACTAGCCTATCCTCGGTTACATGATATGCAACTAGCCTATCCTCGGTTACATGATATGCAATAGTCTGCCCTCGATTACATAATATGCAATAGTCCTTTTCAGGACTAACCTAGCCGCGTCCTTTTATTAGGACTACCAAGCTGCGATCCTGCGCGACACTCCACCCAAGGACGAACTGACTACACCACAGCACTGTCCGCGTCGACCCTCTCTCTCTGCAAGTACAGACATCCAGGGATCGACTGGACCTAGAACATCGCTGGTTCCATTCGGCCTACCTCCAAGCTGTCGCCTTGAGACCTGACAACACTCCTCCAAGACTACACGACCGAACTACTACAAACCAATTATCTGTAAATATTCGTGCCAAATTTATTTAATAAAATTTGGCTTGAACTTTTACATCCTCGTTTTTGTTGTCCTTGCTTCGATCGTATTATCTTATATTATTTTTCCGTTTGCGGGGTTAACAGTCAACCTGCTTAGCGCTGCAACAAGTGGTGACCCCTGATATTTACGATCGAGCAAGATGGCAACTGACGAGTGGGGAACAGAACACTCTCATAAATGTGGCAATGCCACTCACAAACCTCCCTCCGTACAACGAGCAGAACACCAAGAACTGGTTTTTACAGCTGGAAGCCATTTTCTCGGTACGGGAAAATCACATCACAACAAGCAAAATTCGTCAACGTGGTACAAGTTTTGCCACCTTCAGTTGTCGACGAAGTAGCCGACATCTTGGAACACGTACCCGAGCAGGAGCTATATACTCGCCTCAAGGAGGCTATTCTGAAACGAACCGGCCGTTCGGACGAGGAACTGCTCCGGGAACTTTTTACCCACGTCACCAGGGGCGACAGAACACCCTCACAGCTTCTACGCTTCATGAGGAGCCGACTGGGGAAACATTCCATGGCCGAATCAATCTTGCGCGAACTGTGGATGGACAAGTTACCCACTACCATAACGCAGATATTGGCACCAATCGCTGATAACACTCCACTGGACCAGTTAGCAAACCCGCTGACCGCATCGCAACTAAACTGGACCAAGGAGTGTGTGCCGTGCAACGCCCAGACGACACATCAGCCAAAGAAACAGACCTGGAAAAGGCAGTAGCTGACCTGCAGCATCAGCTGCAGGATATACGAATGCTCCTTTCCCGCACATCGAGAGGCCCGATGCCGGCGACCGGCGGTTGGCGACGGAGAGCACGGAGTACCAGCAGGGGTCGACGAGTCGACCCGGAATTATGCTGGTACCATCACAGATTCGGCACCAGGGCAAAGAATTGCTCGGCACCCTGCAAATACAGCTCCAAAACCAAGTCGGAAAACTAAACAGCCGGCGGGTAGGAGCGGCAGAACCTCCCGGCAAAAACATACGAAGCCGCCTTTTTCTACGTATGGGACCGACGGAACAACATAAAGTTTCTAGTGGACACGGGAGCAGCTATCAGCGTTATACCCCCCAAAGAACAGCAAGACCGAAAGGCGACCCCGTATAAACTCCAGGCAGCAAACGGCTCGACGATCGAGACATATGGAGCCAAGACACTGACTCTGAACATCGGTATGCGGCGCGATTTTTTACATGGACTTTCACCCAGGCAGACGTAAAAACGCCAATACTCGGTGCAGATTTCCTGGCCCATTATGATCTAGCCGTGCACATGAATACGAGAACTTTATCAGACAATACCACGAACATTGCTGTTAAAGGCACCTCTCTCGACACAACACCACTGGAATCAGTGTGACAACTTGCCACGGACGAGAGTACATCGAGATCCTAAACAGATACTCGGACCTCATTCAACCACTCGCAGGTACCGGTCCGGCAAGACACCAAACACAGCACCATATAAAGACCAGTGGACAGCCTACTTTTTCCCACCCACGACGACTTCCTCCTCATAAGCTGGAATACGCCCAAAAGGAGTTTAACAACATGCTGCAGGACGGATTTATACGACCCTCCGATAGCCCATACGCCTCACCCCTACATCTCGTACCTAAGCCGGGAAGCACAGACTTTAGGGTATGCGTCGATTATAGAAGATTAAACGCTACAACCATACCCGATCGCTATCCGGTCCCGCATATTCACGATTTCGCCTCAGGGTTGCAGGGCACTCGCGTCTTTTCGAAGATAGACCTAACTAAGGCCTACCACCAGATCCCCATAGCTCCGGAGGACATTCCAAAGACAGCCGTAACCACTCCCTTTGGTCTCTTTGAATACCTCAAGATGCCCTTTGGCCTGAGGAATGCTGCACAAACGTTCCAACGCTTCATAGATGAGGTACTTCGCGGCTTAACGTACGCGTATGCCTACATCGACGACATACTGGTAGCCAGCATAGATGAGAACACACACAAAAAACATCTAAACGAAGTGTTCCAAAGAATAGCACTTTATGGACTCCGGCTGAACATGGACAAATGCACTTTTGGGGCATCTGAGGTGAACTTTAGGCCATCATATCGACAAGGACGGTATCACACCATTACCCGAGAAAGTCGACGCGATACAAAACTTCCCTACGCCGACATCCACAAAGCAAATCAGACGATTTATCGGTATGATAAAATTTTACCGCAGGTTCATCCCCAACTGCTCGACAATTCTCTCCCCGTTAACAAACATCATAGAGCGGAAGAACAAACAAATTACCCTAGAGGGAGATACCTTTGCGGGCTTTCGAAACGGCAAAGACAGCGCTGATAAACTTCACAAAACTCTCATTCATCGAAAACGACCCGGAAACAAGAATTTTCCTTACAACAGACGCTTCCGACGTTGGAATAGGAGCAGTAGTGGAGCAGCAAGTGAACATGACGAGACAGCCGATAGCCTTCTTCTCAGCTAAACTCTCTGCAGCCCAGAGAAGATACAGTACCTTCTCACGAGAACTCCTGGCGATCTACCTGTCCATACGTCATTTTCGACATCTTCTGGAAGGCAGACATTTCACTATCTTCACGGATCACAAACCACTGATCAACGCGATGAATGTCAGCGCAGACAAGTATACATCCCGTGAAACACGTCACCTCGACTACATCTCACAGTTTACGACGGACATCAGACACGTCCAAGGAAAGAACAACACCGTCGCAGACACATTGTCCAGAACAGACGTCAATACCATGGATAACGATGTTTGGAGCCAGGAGCTGATAGCCGACAAACAAAAAAGACGATACGACGATACCTGACATCATTAAGGAGACTTTCTTTGAAACTGCAGGAATTCCCGTGTCCGTTCAGCGATAAAACTCTTTTCTGTGACACCGCACTGGATACCCGAGACCGTACATTCCTCCATCTCTTTAAAAAAAGTATTTCTCCATCTCCACAATCTATCCCATCCGAGCAAGCGAGCAACCGTCAAGCTTATCGCCGATCGATTTGTGTGGCTCAACATGAATTCAGACATTAGGAATTGGGTCTCAACCTGCATACAATGTCAGAAATGCAAAATTCAGAGGCACACAAAATCACCAGTTGGAACATTCGCCACACCCGACGCACGTTTCAGCCACATCCACGTTGACCTCGTCGGGCCTCTACCAATGTGCCAGGGGTACCAATACCTTCTAACAATCATAGACCGTTTTTCGAGATGGCCAGTCGCTGTGCCGATTAAGGACATTTCCGCTACCACAGTTTCTAAAGCCATTCTCACCAACTGGATTACTAACTTTGGCGTACCACAAGTTCTCACTACAGATCGGGGGACCACAATTTCAGTCCTCGCTTTTCCGAGAATTCTCTCAACTTTTGGGTGTCAGACACATTAAAACGACGGCTTACCATCCTTGCGCAAACGGCCTCGTGGAGAGATTTCACCGATCCTTAAAGACGTCCCTGTCAACCAAACTCGATACACAACTGGGTCGACAACCTCCCCATGACCATGCTCTCTTTGCGGAATACCCTCAAGACGGATTTAGGGTGTTCGACAGCAGAGCTCGTGTTTGGTACGCCTCTCTCCTTACCAGGGCAATATTTTCACCTTCCGCAGTACTCTTGCACATCCACACCAAGTTCTTTCGTGCAAGATCTGCGCCACAAAATGGACAAACTTACATACACTCCCCCACGAAAAACAAACCCAAGCTCCTACTTACCACAGAATTTGGATACCTGCGATTTTGTTTTTGTTAGGAACGACGCCGTAAAAAAAACCTCTCACACCTAGCTACCAAGGCCCTTTCAAAGTTCTGAAGCGTTCTAAGAAATTTGTCACGATCATGCGCGCAAAAACAAAGATACGGTCTCCATCGACCGACTTAAACCAGCTTGGTTAGAGGAAACTTCTCCCGAGCCAGACTTACCAACAACGACGGAAGATGAAACAACAACACCAGTCGTACGAACAAAATCAGGCAGAAGAGTTCATTTTCCTGCCAAACTAAAGACTTACATTCTTTTGTGAATTGATCACGATCAATCCTCTAGGAAGGGGGCCTTATCGCACCCGGCCGGAAGTTACTGCCGGCTACTCAAACATCTAAAAGCGTCACCGCGGAAAACATAACGAATGCCGTTAACTTCCGGTGACTAAGCGTTTTTCAGTCAACGTCTCACACAAACTAAGAAAAACGAAACATTTACATATACTAACTTTCCTAACCAAAACAATTACCAGAAACTACTTTATATACACATGGTGTCCGAATGGAATCCATGTGTACAATAAAAAAGTAGAAGGTAATTTTCAGTCATCACCCCAAATATATCGCTGACAGGCTACGTTGCCGACCTCAGCCTATATATACACAGCGGATTTTTTCCACCAAATTAATCTTCTCGGCTGATTTTTTTTGGCCTCGGGGTTGAGCGACGAGCTCCCCCTCTCACCTACGCTGACCACACGAAGCAGCAGCAGCCAGGCCAGCAGACATCAGCAGCAGCTAGAGCCAGCAGAGCAGTCCGGCCTCCTCCTCATCAGCAGCAGCAGCAGAGAGCCAGCAGAGCAGTCCGGCCTCCTCCTCATCAGCAGCAGCAGCAGCTAGAGAGCCAGCAGATATCAGCAGCAGCAGCATCCTCAGCAGACATGATATGCACAGCAGCCTATCCTCGGCTACATGATATGCACTAGCCTATCCTCGGTTACATGATATGCACTCAGCCTATCCTGCACATGATATGCACTAGCCTATCCTCGGTTACATGATATGCACTATGCACTATGATATGCACTAGCTCATCCTCGGCTACATGATATGCACTAGCCTATCCTCGGTTACATGATATGCACTAGCCTATCCTCGGTTACATGATATGCACTAGCCTATCCTCGGTTACATGATATGCAATAGTCTGCCCTCGATTACATAATATGCAATAGTCCTTTTCAGGACTAACCTAGCCGCGTCCTTTTATTAGGACTACCAAGCTGCGATCCTGCGCGACACTCCACCCAAGGACGAACTGACTACACCACAGCACTGTCCGCGTCGACCCTCTCTCTCTGCAAGTACAGACATCCAGGGATCGACTGGACCTAGAACATCGCTGGTTCCATTCGGCCTACCTCCAAGCTGTCGCCTTGAGACCTGACAACACCTCCAAGACTACACGACCGAACTACTACAAACCAATTATCTGTAAATATTCGTGCCAAATTTATTTAATAAAATTTGGCTTGAACTTTTTACATCCTCGTTTT